GATAACATGGTTTTTACCCTTAATATTTACCCAGTTGTTGGAACACGTGTCAGCCCATCATACGAATACCCAGATGTTTCTGGATCGTCTACGTACTGCGGAGCCCAGCAGCGCGTACGTGATGGAGTCCTTGGACGTTACCGCCCTTTATACAAACGTGTCGAATGACTCCGCAATGCAAGCCATATTCGAACTCCTTCTACAACACGAAAGAGAAATAAACATGTATGGGATCAAGATAGAGCAGTTGATGGCACTCTTAAAAGAATGCTTGAGCTGCTCAATCTTCAGATGCTCTAGAAAATACTACGCCCAAATGAGAGGGTTGGTAATGGGACGGCGACTAGCACAAAGTCTTGCCATTGCGTTTATGTCTAAGGTGGAAGCATCAGTGACCGATCTCAGGCCATTACTCCACCGTAGATATATAGATGACTGTTTTGTCCTTTGTTCAACACAAGAGGAAAATGTTTCGATTTGTTGAACGAACAGTCAGAGTATATCATGTTCACCCGAGAGAAACCGAAAGAAAACTGGCTTCCATTCTTGAACGTCCAAATTAACCTGTCAGAAAATGACTACATTACGAAGTGGCTACCGAAAGCCAAGTAATAAAAACATCTTGACCGTTTTATTTACTGCCTACTCTTTTTGATGGCAGATTATATTGCAAAATATAACTTCAATGATGCTGAAATAGTTGCAAAACTCCGGACCGCAGGTGTATGCGGTGGGGAACGAACGCGCTATTGTCCCTTCCGGGAGTAACGCGTTCACCACCACACCATGCGGGTGCTTCGTTTCGCTTTTCCCTCAACTAGTTCTATCGAATTCGGCCATCAGCAATCACCCGTCAGCGGGATTGCTCTTGGAGCCCAAATCGGCAATGAACCCAGTTAAGCTGAGGCTTTAGTTAGTTTTTTTTTTAGCTGAGAGAAAAACGAAACGAAGGATCCGCATGGTGTGGTGGTGAACGCGTTACTCCCCGGAAAGGACAATAGCGCGTTCGTACTCCACCGCGTGCACCTGCGGTCCGGAGTTTTGCAAATATCTCAGCATCATTGAAAAACACTTTGGTTCGTTATCTCTTCTCTCACCCTTCTCGCACGAAAAGGGCGCTTGTGAGAAACATGTTTCGAGCAATACTCAACGTGTGCACGTGAAGAGAGCAGAGAGAGGAGACCCGGAAGTTGGCACGGCAAATAGCCATTTCTAATGGCTACGAAACTGTAGCTCGGGATAGGTGTAGAGGGAATCCTTGGCCTCCAAACGACAACTCTAGCGATAAAAATGTCCCGTTTATCCCACCCTTCATCTCAAATGATGTAAGTGCAACTCTGATGTAAGTGATGTAGATGTAAGTGCAAAACGTTGGTTAAGAAGAGTGGGTATAGAGAATTCGATAAACGTAGTTGAAATGCCACCGAGTACCCTTGGGTGCCAGCTAGTTCCTAACCGCCTATATAACCGTCTATGTGCAACGCAAAATTGCATAATTTGCCCTAGAGATGGTGATTGCATGAGTTCGGGTACAGTTTATCTGATCTCTTGTAAAAGGTGCGGAGACGAATACATTGGCGAAACGGGTAGACCACTCCACGTTCGTATAAAAGGACACTTAGTCGCCAAACGTAAAGCTAAACCAAGTACACCACTGGGCACGAATAAGACACAAAGACATAATGGGGAAGATTTTGTTGTAGAAGTGACGATCCTCGCACAGGAGTCGAAAACACAAGCGCGCGAAATTCGTGAGGCGTTCTGGATGAATTCCAAGAATACGAAAATGAACCGCAGAGAGGAATGCCTCACTATCACGTGTGATATGGGGCAGTATTTAAGACTGTTATTCTGATGGGAGGAGCACATTACGCTTCCATGTAAACTCTGTGCGGTTGGTCTCCACGTGACATATTCAGTGGAAAACTCACAAAAAGCGGTGAGTATGCGATAAAGCCATTATGTGTTCAATGTGATTGAAATCTTGGTTTAGCATTTCCTCTGTTTGGTTATAAAAATGTTTGGTTGGGTAGAGTGCGGTCATCTTGATCTTTCCAGGCTCTGAGGAAGGCGAAATCCGCCGAAACGTCAGCTTGTTCTTGAATAAAGAATAAAATAACACCTCGCGTTTGTTCATCGATAATACGAAGAATTAAAAGCAAAGAACTACAATTCGTTTTGATTTGATAAAATTAGCTGAATGAAAAAAGAAGATAAGGAAAACGTACGTAAATACTCAGATAGATTTTCAAACGACCCATCTTCACATGCTGTGCAGACCGTAGCACTTCTTCCATTCGTTCATTTCGTTCTCTTGCAGCCTTCATCCAGGAGGTGGTCAGGCGTATTGGCTTCGTCCTTCGTCATTCTTCATCATCCTTCGGCTTAAACTTATGGCTGCGCTATTTCCTCTCATTAACATGTTGGATTGGTCTATGCGGTTTTTTCCTGGAACGGGCTAGAGTTCTCACCGTTGAAGGCTGGTATAGCGTGTTTTACTCTGCATACGCGATCCAGTGGGGCTATACGTTCCAGATCATCACCACATTCAGTTGCTGGTCTTTACGTATTGGAGGTTTGTTATCTTACAAATCGGATTCTCCCATTCCTGCGAAAGTAGCGACTCCTATGATGGCACTGAATCCTACGATTAGTTGACCGACGATTCGAGAAGGATATAATAGGTCCAATCCATATGGATGCTGTCACATGGTACATGAAACGGAACTGGGTGTGTTGAACTTAGTACATCTTCTGTATTTTAAAACCCGACTTTGCTTTAACTCAACATGACTAATCAATATTTGCTTAGATGACCGAGCTAACGCGAGATTTTTAGAAAACTTTTTTCAGTTTACGTTTCTACTCTTTCGTCTTCGTCAAAACCTGAATGTTTCGTAACAACTTCACGTTAGCTTAATCATCTAAAAAGATATTAAGTATGCCTTCATACAGAGAACTGAATTGTGTGGAATACAACTCGTATATAATGCTGAGTTATTCGCAAAACTCCGGACCGCAGGTGTATGCGGTCCGGAGTTTAGCAAATATCTCAGCATTATAGACGAGTTATATTTCGCAACATACCCTGCCACTAAAAAGAAAAAGGCAGTAAACAAAAGGGTTAAGATTGAATTGTGTGGTTTTGCGCAAACGTATGAGAACCTTCAGAACATGTAGCACGTTAAAACTTTTATGCCTTAGTCTTCAAAATTTCACGAACTATTGAAGGGCTTCCGCATAAAAGTAAAAAAACATAAAACAATGAAAAAGCGAAGGTACTTAAGTTCGAATGAGGATAAACGAAGAAGAGAGGATACAGAACCGAAAACTCGTATTTATTGACAGAGCATTTTTTTTTATCTGAATCCTTTCGTACAACTCTCACTGTATGTTTCATTTGTTCTAGCCGAACAAAACTACGACTAACACACTTACATATACTCCTTTGTAGAGCTATGCGAAATAAGTGGAGTGCTTGTATCCGCGTATAGTGGTAAAGGGAGGGGTCGGCTCTGGCTGATCGCATTGCTTCGAATCTGTTCACGCTTCGTTTCCGGTATCACAGTACTAAAAAAAGGAACAAGTGCTTTTATCAGACGCTCCTGACATTTCTCTTAAAAACCCACCGTATTTCCTAAAACCCTGTACTCAAAATAATTGCCCTTTATTAAATTTTTAATATGATTGGTGATGCTATCAAAGTAAAATCTTCACTTGGATCTTTTCAATGAGAAAAAAAGTCACTTGATTCTGCAGACCATTCCTAACAAGAAAGAACTACCATTTTTCTGCAGAGATAAAATACTGATTTTTTGATTATTATGAAACTCATTTTTGAGCTTTATTCCGTTAAGCATTACGTTTCAATCAATAGAGTGATTTAACAAGAGGAATTTTATACAGTAAGATCGTTAGAGGACATACGGCATGGCATTAGGCGTCTGTCAACCTTGAAGGACGCGCCATGTATTCGACTCCATTCCAAGCGTCGTAGATGTGATTGAACGCATATTTGGGCTATAAAATTACTTACGAAGCCTACCTATATGTCAAATCAGCGCTTTTAGGATTTTCCCAGAAAAATGTGCTAGTGATCTGTCAATACCGAATAATGGAAGGGTTGCTTAGCCCGCCATACGTGGTGGAAGCAACAACACTGTGCATTGTAGAGCACCCTTAACAACGGCGCCACATGCACGCTAATTATTGAAATGCATGGGCATCGATCTGTGAGTAACGAATTCTCTCATATATCAAAGCTACCCACTGATCTCCCTCATATGACGGATCTCGAGCCGCCTAATCACGAGGCTACGTGGCGCGTCCCCAGGTGGCAGATAGGTAGTTAACTGCGGACCAAAAGCGAGTTGGACTCCCTGCTTCTGCTGCGCCGATTTGGTATGTACTTTCTGTATCTACGAGGAGTATTCATGCACTCGTGTGTGGGTGCGTTCTAGTTTAGGCCGATTGCATTCTACGAGTCAATTCGGCCAAAAAGCCCGCAATCAAGTGACAGGGAAGTGTAAGGGATGCACTTAGGAGTCGCCTCCAACAAATATGCACCATGACCACTCTGGGAGAGAGTGGCAAGCTAACCATGAGTATACCCAGCAAGCTATAACTGGGTATCGAAAGCCAAAAACGGTAAAAGATACGGGTCTTATTCCCCTGACCCCGAAAGAGCCCCCAGTTCGGCAGCATTGGGTAAGACTAGTACGGAGACGCCGCTAAAATCTCAGGGCCAAAGGCCAATGTAAGCTGTCTGGATTGCAAGGAACTAAGGTATCTGTACTTACAATGCACGTACACTTGCATCCGAGCCCTCGATAGAAGACTGGCAAGAGAGAAAGATAAGGAACGACGTCATCGGCCTGGCTGAAACGAAACGACGCCGCCCATTCAACGCCGTCTGTGACACCAGAGAAGAACTGTTCCTCGGAACATGCGACAGTAGAGGAGTCGACGACGTCGGCGTTCTCGTCAACACGAGCTTGTCCATGAACATCGATTCATTCGAACAGCTTACAACCCGAATCGGACGTTTACCATTAAAAAGATGTGGATCAATACCGGCTTTGACAATCTTCGTCGTTTACGCGTCGACATCAAACTGTGAGGAAGAAGGAGTCGAAGAGTTCTATATGGACTTGGAGAAGTTCTACAGAGAAGACCATACATTCTCCAAGGTTATTACTGGAGATCTTAACGCCAAGATTGGACAAAGAAGAACGTCTGTAGAACGTAATATTTGGACCCACGGACTAGAATGGAACGAGCACGGGTGAGCGGTTCTCTGAGTTTATCATGACGGCCAAGACCATCCATGTTAACCCACAATTCCAGAAGTCCCACCCTCAACACCTTGAAAGCTTTCGAAAGTCACCGAGTGACGTTCGTTTTCAGAAACACTCGAGCGATACGCCAGCGTGGAATCGCACGAGTTGTAGGCAACCACGAACTAATGTTCCAACTTGCAAAACAATGCAGACAGGCGACTAAAGAAGATCATCAAGAGAGAAGAGAAGCAGTAAAGATAGTCGAAGCTGCAGAGGTTGAGAAAAGCATTCGCAAAGCCCATCAAATCTTCGCTATTTACAATGGAGAACATCATTCACGAATACTACTCAGATCTCAATCTTAACCGTTTTAATTACTGCCCTTTTCTTTTAATGGCAGGGTATGTTGCGAAATACAACTCGTATTTAATGCTGAGATATTTGCAAAACTCCGGACCGCAGGTGTATGAGGTGGGGAACGAACACGCGCTGTTGTCCTTACTGGATTAGCTTAACTGGGTTCAATGCCGATTTGGGTTCCTCAGATCAATCCCGTTGACGGGTCATTGCTGATGGCAAAAAGATGATAGAACTAGCTGAAAGACAGGCAAAACAAAGGACCCGGATGGTGTGGTGGTGAAGTGCACTGCTCCCCGGTAAGGACAACAGCGCCTGTTCGTTCCCCACCTCATACACCTGCGGTACGGAGTTTTGCAAATATCTCAGCATTACATACTACTCAGATCTCTTCGATAGTTACGTCTACCTTCCGTTATATGAAATACAGGAGGATGGATGTGTTGTACCACCGGTTCTCCCTTCCGAAATCCGACATGCCATTTCTTCGGTGAAAAATCGAACGGCACCAGGTCCGGACAGGATAAGATCAGAACACCTGAAGAACCTTCAGCCAGTCCTCGTAAACACACTGAATCGGCTCTTCACACATTACCTGTCTGAATGCAAAGTCAACTCAATGGAATACCAGCAAGACCGTGTTATTCTTCAAGAAGGATGACCTAAACGATATAGGCAACTATCGCCCAATCTGCTCGCTGTCTCTCGTCTACAAACTTTTCACTCGAGTCAATCCTAAACAGGATTGACAGAACACTAGACGAAGGACAGCCATGTGAGCAAGCAGGGTTTCGAAAAGGGTTTAGTACGATGGACCAAATCCACACGGTAACACGGCTCATTGAAGTATCGCGAGAGTACAAAAGACAACTCTGTCTCAATTTCATCGATTTAAAGAAAGCCTTTGACTCAATTGAGATATGTATTCTTTCTTGATAAGCTTGCACGAGGTTGATAAATATATTTATTTTCGGTTAAATTGAGATAGAAGCAGTCATGGAAGTCCTTGATAGTCAGGGAGACCCTACTCAGTACATGAAGATTCTTCGTGGCTGTACAAAAATTTCACAACTAAGATATCACCATTCTACAACGATATTAAAATTGACGTCAAAAGAGGAGTTAGGCAAGATGATATCATCTCGCCAAAATTATTTACCGCCACTCTCCAGAACAACATGCGAACATTGGAATGGAATAATATGGGACTGAAAATCGATGGTCGGCAGTTATACCATCTTCGCTTTACTGATAACATTATCCTTATAACACCGAACATTATGCAAACGGAACGTATGCTTGCCGACTTTGATAAAGCCTATGGAAAGATTAGTTTTCGGCTAAATCCCACCAAAGCGATGTTCATGAGGAACGGATTGGCTTCGCATGCCCATTCACGCTCAACGGAACGAATATCTCCGAGTGCTCCAGTTGTGTCTATCTAGGTCGGGAAATCGACATGATGAACGACTTAGCTCCAGCGTTGAGCAGAAGGAAACGAGCGGCTGGGAGAGCTTTCAAGGGAATCGAGAATATAGCAAAGAAAACAAAGAACACCCGACTCCATGCTCACCTTTTCGACTCAACGGTACTTCCTACCCTAACGTATGCGTCAGAAACCTGGTTGCTGCGTAGGCAGGATGAAAGGGCACTCAGCGTTATCGAACGCGCAGTTGAAAGGACAATGCTAGGAGTATTCCGTTTTACCCAAGTAAGCGAAGGGATCGGAAATTGCGACCTGCGTCAACGTATAGAGAACTTCTCCCTTGGAAAGTTCTCTATCTATCTAAATAATAGTATTTGAAGTCCATATATGGCCTCCTCACACTCGCACTCGCACATCAAACACCGCAATGTAACCTTTCTAATCTTCTCGATCAATTATGTTCAATGTTTCAGGCACTATAGCGATTCAGGTTTGACTTCAGTAGCATAGCGACGATGACTAATCCGAAGGAGGCGTAACCATAGAACAGTTTACTACTTGCTTGCGAAACAACGAAGCTAATGACGTTTGATGTTTCAGGCAGCTAGGTACAGTCTATTGCGGTCCAGGATCAACAATCCAGGTTAACCGCGGTTGCGTACGCTCGCGGCTCCCGCAGCCGATATAAGCCAGGTGCCTTCGACGGCGGAGACATGCCATCACTCACCTTACCCCCGATCGGTAGCGAGGATAATCCGCACCTCACAACCACATCCTCAAGCATCCTCAATCACCTCAACTCATTCTTAGTCATAGTCATTTATTCTTATTCAATCACACTCATTCACACATTCACATTCATCCTTCAGTAATCAGCAGATTATTGTATCTCGTTCCTCAGCTTGTCTACGGTGCGATGTCAGTAGTGGCGGGTGTTACCAAATGCGTTCTGTTTGCAACGCCATCGGTGGCATGTACCATTCCTCCCACAATGTACACGCAATGTGTACAATGCCGCTAAGCGGCCAACTTATGCTATGTATTCTGCTAAGCCGCTATAGGTTTATCAGTTTTATAGCCATTTATCATACTGGCCCTTGACCCTTAGGCAATGGTGGCACCCATCGATGCTCAAAGTTCACGTTGCTGACATAGCGTTATTCACAACCTGACTGTGTTCCGTAGATGACTCATCATTCACTGTCCATAGCACCGTCAAGCTCATGTAACTTACAGTTCTCATCGATCCACTAAAATGCTCCTCATCGCTATAATGTTGAAATCTTAGCTTGGCCGAAACACGGCCAGTCTGTGACCCTCACCACCTCAGCATACTGTCTCCCTCAGCCGCCACGACGGCCGCGAATAGACGCGGCGCGGCATCGCTTACGGCTTAGCGAAGGCTGCTTCGTTGTAATCTCATTATTATTGTTAATATTGTGTTAATGGTATAATAATGTTTGAATGCCATTGCCTCATTGTTTAGCCTCACTTCACTACAGGCCTTAGCACCTCAGAGCTCTAACTTGTGTCATTCCTCTACCATTACTTCTCTATCGTTACTATCATGTTATTAGTGTTGTATTTATGTATTAAAGGTTTAATTACCCAAGTTTGAGGCTGGTAGATCAACTACAACAACTAAAAGACCCGCGTGGCTAATATTCTACATCAATCTGAACCGCTACACTTCGCCGCTAATCATTTCGTTACACAACGATCAAAAATCAAAGATGCTGCTCTGTACGCCAAACAGTCGAAGATAAGGTGGGTCGGACGCGTAATGCCCATGAATGACAACCGATGGACAAGAGCCGTTAGTGACTGGATCCCTCGGGATGTCAAACGTACTGCAGGAAGATCACCGACCCGATGGTCAGAATTCTTCACGAAGAGCCTAGAAGAAGACATGATGCTCTACGAGTCCCTAGAGCGAGTAGAGCCCACTGGGCTGCTCTTGCACACGACAGGGAAAAGTGGAAGATTTACTGGCGTTAGCTCGAGTCACTCGACGATTAACGGGATTACAGGTGGCACAGGCAATCAAAGCTACCAAAACTGATAAGTTCGATATTTCCATTCGGCAACCCGAATAAAAGTAGAACGATATCAGGAAACACCTCTGTCCCAGAAGAAATCTAGGTGCAAGAAGTCAAACCTTCCCTCATTCTATAAAAGCTGATGTCGGCTTGTGGTTGTGACTTTGAAAAGGAATGCTCTAAAACAGCTATCTCAGAACTTTGAAAAAAAGCCGGTCGACTATTTAAATTGCACTAAAAAAGAAATTGTGCTAGGGCTCAAGCTAATTACATAACTCAGTACTTGAAGCATGCGATATATAAAGCTTTTCGGATAATAATGTATAACTTCACACCTGTATCTTTAAAGTGGCATCTCAGCTCAAATCAAACTTTGTTGGTCGAAATAAAAACCATTGCAATACATACACTTTATTTATTCCTGTTCCTTAAAAATGTGGACTTGCAGACGTGGTGAAGTCGTTGAAGGCAGTTTTGGCCTCGGCAGGCTTCTAAAGCTTTTCGTGCGCAGGAACTCATATATTACAGATTGTTGAGGAAGTGCAAGTTGGTAGGAGAGGGATCTGGCACATGTGGTGGACGAGATAGAGTTTCGTTTTTCATTTCGTTGAATCTGCGGCGCCGGTAGTGCGACGTGTTGCCAATTCCTACGGCTGATTCCCGACAAACACAATAGTAAACGTAATCAAAGCGTGTAATCAATCTTCCGTGAATATCTCCTTCCGTATTGCGATAACTAATGAGTGCTCTATTTATTTACCTGTTTATTTCCTTATTTATATAACTCAACAACATGTACTGTGCAGATATCAGCACTTTTTCATTCGCTTCGTTGCATCGCATCCATCATCTACGAAGTTCCCCGGATTTTCGCGTGTGGATTCGGTTGCCATTTTAAAACCTCGCCCTATTCACTAATGTCATTGAATGGTAGTCGGGTAGATTTTCTCTGGAATAACATAGGTTGCCGCCACCCCTGGTGCATCGGATGGAGCTTTACCAAGATAAGCATACTCTCAATTTTACGACCGTAGAAGGATGGTGGGCAGCTCTCAGTTGCTGTCAAGGATTATGATCGACTGTGGCAGAGCAGAAGATGGTTTGGTGTAGTTTTCTTGAGATTAGGGAAGAAAGGCCAACACGTTCTATCGGCATTCATTCATGTAATGAAATGAAAAGACAGTATATCCTCAACCCGCAGAGAAACTTACACAAAAACTCGACCAATAGCTCCGTAGTTAACGATTGGAAGAGAACAAAACGAAAAGAACTGGTGAGGTCCCCTGTGAAATTCAAGGCGGACTCTCCAGGTATGCAAGTATTGGATTTATTGGTGGATTTTCCATCATCTCCTTTTTGCGTAGCCAA